AAAAAAAAAAAAAAGGAATGCAACATGAGCCAGCAAGTGGGGGCGGGGGGGGACAGGCCGTGGTTCACCACTGAAGGGACAGACACCAGGCTGTCACCCGCAGCAGCAACGCCAGCGTCTAACCCGAGCGCTTTAAAGACACAAGCAAGACACAAGTTTGGAGACACCCTAAACGAGAAGCGAAGGGAGCCCGAACACCCCGTTCATAGAGAGGTCCCCTCACGTAAGGAAGCAAAACTCTGCTCGTTGAGAAAAGGCCCCAAGCGCTCCCTGGTGGAACACAGAGTCGGAGCGCGGCCGGGGCCTCCCTGGCGGTGCGGCGGGTCACGGCACAGCACTGAGGCTCGCCGTGCTGCTGGGGCACTGGGTCCATCCCCGGCCAGGCAGTGACCGACAGGGCGAGGCAGACCTCTGCTGTCCCCCCGGCTGCTCCCCTTAACGGTGAGTTTCAGTGGATCTGCCTGTTCTGCTCCCCACCCTGCCTCTGGGGAATAAAGAAATCTTGAAAGCAAGCAAGCGGACGGAGCCCCCGAGTGACCCCTTCATCACACGCGTCTTCCCAGGCGACTCGGGAGGCCGGCCAGCGGCGGGCCAGCACCCACAGGACAGGCCCCGCCCGCTCACCTGATAGGGCTTCAGAGCTTGCAAGGGGCAGAGCGGTCTTGGCACTGGGGGCTGCAGCTGGCCCAGGTAACCCAGCACCGCCAAGTCCCGGAAAATCCTGTTGTGCCACTCCCTGCAAGAGAGCGACGCGGTGAGCGGGCCCCTCACCGTCGCAGCCCCCCGCCCACGGGTCCTGCCACCCTCACACCGTGGAGCGCACCTCCTGTGACCCGAGAAGCCGGAGCCTCCCTGAGGGCCCCCCGGGTCTCAGCGGCGCCCAGTGAGGGAGCCCGCCTCCGCCAGGACGCGACGCACCTGTTTCTCGACGTCTTCCTGAACGCGAACTCCGACTGCACGCACATGAGCTTGTGGCCCGTGAACACCACGGGGCTGTCCTTGTCGTCGTCGGCAAGCTCCAGAGCGTCCGCGAATTCAGCCAGGCGGAAGCCCCTGTCCCTGGCCTTGACCTTGCTCTTCGTGTACAGGCCGTCCGTGTCGTCCACGAAGTCGGGCGTGAGGCGCGGCATGTACTGGCTGCGGCTGGAGCTGAACTGCACCACGTGGCTGGGGGACAGCAGGCGGACGAGGTCGACGAGCAGCAGGAGCCCGTCGTCTGCGGGCGGGAGCGGGTCAGCGCGGGTCACGCGGCAGGCCGCGAGCAGCCCGCAGCC